AAAAAAAAAAAAAAAAAAAAAAAAAAAAAAAAAAAAAAAAGGGCATGAAAGAAATGAATATCTAGTCTCCAACTTCTGACCAAAAGACCCGTGTTGTGTCTGCAAGTGTGGCAGTCTCAGCCAGGGTCATGGTCATATTAGGTTCAACCTGTAAGATTGCAGCCACTCAACCAGTTTTGACCTACAAAAATGGCAATCACATGTATCTTAACCTAATTATAACAACAGCAGCAATAATGATGATAACTAATCTTTTTTGAGCACTTAATAAGTGCCAGGAACAGCTCTAAGTGCATTCCATGTATGAACTCATTCAATTTTCACAATAAGCCAGTGAGATAGGTTCGAAGATTATATCCAGTCTACAGATGAAGTAACAGAGTACCAGAGAGGTTAAGTAACTCTCTCAAAGTCACACAGCCAGGAGATAGCAAAACTCAATTTTAACTCAGCCATTGAGTCCAGGGCCTCAGAGGAGAGAAGAAATGGTTAAATGGGGAAGGTTTCTTTGGGGAAGACTGGCTCTCGGGGACCTACCTCATAATCTGCTTTTCCTTCTCAGGTCAGTCAGTACACATTTGCCATGTGCAGTTACAGGGAGAAGAAAGCGGAGCCTCAGGAACTTCTACAACTGGATGGCTACACTGTGGATTACACCGACCCCCAGCCAGGTACCCACCCGCCCTCTAGGTCATGAACCCACAAAACCCTCAGCCTTCCCAAATTAACAATCAACTAGTGTTTGCAGGCTCTTACTCCATGCCAAGCAATAAGCCAACTTACTAAAGGTTTCATGGGTGACTGACAGCCACAGTCCCTGGTCTTATGGAGTTTCTATCCTGGTTGATTAGATACCATCTCAAGCTAGGGTTTTGGTTTTACTCAAGGGATTTTGTGGCTTAAAATCAAATAGAAAACATAATGCATTTTTCTTTTACATACCTGTATCAAGTATGTATTCCACCACGTGGTGCTTAAAAAATTGCTGAAAAAGAATTCCTACATGTGCAACAAGGACTACATCTGTGTGTGCGTGTGTATGTTGGTATGTATTGTTCACCAGTGACGTGCGGGCTTGATAGACATTATGACTCCATATACCTGCCCCACATATACATCCATATCCCCTAGCTATAATTCAAGAGCTTGTAAGGTTAGCTGATGGCACTTGAAAAGAAAACTCTTTCTTTCCTAAGAAGACACCAATCCACAAGGGTAGACACCGAAGCTGCTAAGCCTTATATAACTAGAGAACCACACAAACGGTAGTATTTCCTGCAAGTTTTACATTGCAGAAGTTCTACATCCTGCCCCCTTGCACCTCTCCCCCTACCCATTTTATCTTTTTCTCAGAAAAATGAATAGAAATCAGCCTCAAAAAAACCTTCAAAATGGGGGGGTGGGTGCGAAATCATTTCAGCATATTAATGAGCAAGAAGCACCAGCAGCCCTCTCCCAGAGAAGTTTATTTTTATGCCAAATCTGCACAAGGAAAGCATTTCCAACCATACTGCATTATTTGGCCCAAAACCTTTTTTTCTACTCCCATATTGCTCTTCCACATGCAACAAAATACACATAAGAGAAAAACAGAGTTTCAAAGAAGACAAGGTGTTAACCTGAAAAGGTGTGGCAGGAAGGGTTCGGGCCAGCCCACTTAGGAAAATTACTACCCTCAGAGTCCCAACCTTGAGTGACATGGAACCGCCACGCCCATTTAAACTTCCATATGTAATTTGCATCCTGCCAGAGCAAGATACAGAGCTGACCACATAAGGCGAGAATTAAAAGCTTCTGCCTGGAAATCCTTCATAATAAGTAGGACTTGTGTTGGAAACAATTTCATGCAACATCTCCTCAAGGGGAGGGTGGGGGGCCTGCATTAAGAAAACAACCCTCAGGACATTCTGTGATGGTTTGCCTTCTTAAGTCATTGGGTTCCCTTGCAAGAAATAGATAGGTTCCCGAGACCTGCATTTGAAGTGAGAGGCTAAAGGGCTAGTACGAGAAGAAAAACCAGTACCATCTTACGACAATAATTCCTTTTAAGCCAGTTCACTATGCCTTTTCCTCTACATGACTGTATCTGGCCCTCACCACAAGCCCACAGAGTGAATTGGACCGGGGTTTTGTAAATGAAGAAACTGAGATTCCGAAAGATCAAAGGCTGTCTTTCAAGGCTGTCTGGAGGCAGAGCTGGGACTTGGGCTATAACCCAAGTCACCCTTTAGCACTTGCAGTAAAACATAGCTATGTGAACAGCTATAGCAAATCTATGGTTATTTTATCAGATGAAAGCAGAATCCTCTTCCTATGGTGGGGAGGGCAGGAGCTGGGAGAAAGCTATTCTATCTATATGCATAAGGAGTAACTGTGCACATATATTTTTAAAGCTTCTTTTATTTCTTTTTTTTACATCGATCTCTTGGGATATAATTTATAAATTCCTTTACGAAAGATGTAAATGGAAAGTAAATTGATTATGTGCTTGAGAATAACAAGCAGCTTCTTCTCTCTGCCTTTCTAAGTGCCAAGTCCTATTTAGTTCCCAAGTAATGTTTGATTGAAAATGGAGATTTAAATACTCCCAATTGTCATAAGAAAAATCTAACTCAGAATTTCTTAAAGAGTGCTTTTTAAAAATAAAAATTCCTGGGCCCCACTCCTAACCTGTGAACCAGGAGGGAGGGAAGAATCCTCATATTTAAATGAACACTGTAGGGGATTTCTATGCACTGTAAAGTTTGCCAGCCGGAGGTCTAAGTAATACACATTTTAGCCAATGTCCTCAGAGATTTGTGGAGTCTCAACTGCTTCTTGCAAGGTGAGTACCCAAATGGAGACGGACCTTGGAATTCGTCTTTTCTGCTCCTACCGTTGGCTTTATCCAGATTGTCAATGGAACCAACTGGTGGAGATGTTTATAGGTTGGGTACCCTTGTAGCCCATTCCTGTCCACCCTAGGAGAGAGAGACACAATTGAGCATCCTTACTTTAGACCAATTTGGGATCCAAATGGTTACCCAGGCACAAGCATTTATGCTAAATAAACTCTACCTGTTTAGGGTCCTTGAAATGTTAGTTTGGTGACTGGTAAATAATTGTGTGTCAGTTTTACTTACAGGCTATTCCTTTCAAGCTAAAAATGAAAATGCTTCATTTTACCTTTCCCCAGGTATGGTTTGGCCAGTAAGCAACAATCTCTCAATTCCTATCAGATTAAGTAATTAAGCCTTCCAGTAAAAGGATATTCACTCATAATAATTCAATGGCACAAACTTATCAGACAATTAAATTAATCTTAGGCAACTCATATAGACCTCTTCTATAAATAGACCACACATAAATAGATTATGTCCCTGCAAGCTGTTGGAACAGCAGTCCCTCCCCGAGGGCACTGACCAACATTCCCTCACCTGGTCTGCCTCTGTCCATTCCCAGACATGTCCTCTGGCTCTTGACAGGTCAGTACCTGTGGGACTGTGCTTCACGTTCTCCATGGAGAGCCCATGCAAGGTCACACCTCACATTTTACAGATCCAGGCCGCAGGAAATGCTGCTTTTTCTAAGACTCCGCTGCCCTGGAGCATGTGTCGATTTTCACTTTGCTTTCTCCTCTCAGTTCTCCTTCAACTGTGTTGCTCTTCTCTCTCCTTCCTGCTCCATTGATGTGTCCTCGATCTCTGGAGCTTTTTGAAAAAGCTCTGTTGCTCTCCAACGCTGTCATTGCCATTGCTGCTGCAGCTGCTTTAGACATTTCTCTCTGCCCGCACTCGCTCCACAATTAGGCTTCCCTCTGTTGCTAATGAGGAGCCCTCAGGGAGCTGTTAGCGTGCGCCAAGCCCTGGTATTCGTGCTTGCAGCAGTACAGCACAGTGGTTACAGTCATCAGCTCTGGAGCCACACCGTCATGGTTAGAAGCCAGCTCTGACATGTACAGCCCAGCTTTGTGTCCCTGAGCTAATTATCACCTTCTCCATGACTCAGTTTCTTCATCTATAAAATGGGAATGATTGTACTTCACAGGGCTGTTGGGAAGATTATATAAAAGTCTGGAAACACCTTATGACCTTTCTAGCTCTATCTCTGAATAATGGCACAATGGAAAGGGCTCACTACTTCCCAAGGTAACCCCATGAAAACACTTCTGACAGTAGCCCCAGGAACACAGTATCCCCACCCCCACAGGCAGGCACTGAGCAGGGCAGGCAGGAGAAGTGCCCTTCCAGTGATGTCTATCCTGGCGTTCGCTGACTTTAGCAAAGTAGTCTATCCCTAAGGTTACCATGAGATTAGACTACAGAAGTTCTATTTGACCTCCTCTTCCTCTTAACTCCTTAGTGTTCACTTTTTAGGCTTAAAGCATCCCTCAAAGTGCTTCGTTTTCCTCCCTCCCTTCCAGAATTTTTCTTCTTGTCATGCCATCCATTAGGTTCATCAAATTTTCCCAGCTTGCTAACTATACATCAACCTATCCAAATTATACATTTTGAAGTCCCCCATAAAAATTATTCCCTCATAATCATAACCACCAACAGCTTTTAGTATAGCTTTATTGATGTTGTATCACCAGATCCTCCATATGAAGAAGTAGCTATTTATGTGTCCCCAATCCCCAGCCAGTCTAAGTACAAAACTATCAATACACACCCACTCTCGCAGAATAGACACCTGAATCAATACTGTCAGCACAGTGGAAAAGTCTTGATGTGACCAGTAATCTTTTCAGTACCAAATGTCAAACAGGTTACCTATCAGACCTCATTTGAAATTTGGAAATGCTAATCACTCATTCATTCTCCTCTCAATTTTTAATTAATAACTGGGGAGATGATGAGGAACTTGACAAAGATATAAAACTTTATTTCTGGCTGCAGAATACCCAGTAACCTAAAATATAGGCTTCTAGAATATGCTATCAGACATGATATAGCTTTGGCCTAAGCCTGAACGGCTTCTACCTACCTCTCTCTAAATATTAACCTTGAGAACTGCCTATGGAAAAAGATAAATAGTATATTCATGCATTCAACAAATATTTGTTGAGCACCTACTATGTGCCGTGCACTATTTGAGGTACCAGGGATACAGCAGCGAACAAAACAGACAAAAATTCCCTGTTCATATGAAGCAAAGTAATTTGTATAGTTTGCTAGAAGGTGATGAGAGTAAAGGGGGAAAATGAAGCAAGATAAGAGAGATGGGTAAGGAGAGGTGAAGGTCAGGGAAGATCTCAACAAGAATGTACCATTTAAGCAAAGACATGAATGAGGTGAGGGGGCGAATCATGCAGATTCCTGGAAGAAGAGTGTTTTGGGCACAGAGAACAGCAAGTGCAAAGGGACTGAGGTGAGAACACGCCTGGTGTGTTCAAGCAACAGCAGGAGGCCAGCGTGGCTATGAGTGAGGGTGCACGTGGGCAGACGGGGGAGATAGCACTGGAGAGGAGGTCAGAGGTGGTGGAGGACCAGTTCAAGTGGGCCCTTACAGGCCTTGTCAGAACCTAGGCTTTTCCTCCGAGAGAAATCGGAGCCTCCAGCGGGTTTTGAGCAGAGGAATGACATTTTCTAACTCCTGTGCTAAACCAGTGACTCTGGCTGCCCTGATGAGATCGACTACAGAGAGTGAGGATGGAGGCACACAGATCAGATGGAAAGCTATTAAAATAATTCACGTGAAAGATGGTAATGGCTAGATATAGGGTGGCAGCATAGGACATAGAAGAAGTAGTCAAATTCTGGTAATGTCCTGAAGGTGAACCATCAGAATTTCATGACCTATTGGAAGTGGGTAGTGAGAGAAAGTGAGGAGTCAAGAACGGTCCCATGGATGTGGGCTTGAGCAACCAGAGAGATGGGCTCAGCTTTACCGAGATGGAGAGGTACAGGAGAAAGACCAGGAGTTCGGTGTTAGATGTCACAAGCTTGGGATATCTATCAGATACCCATGTGCAGCAATCAAGAAAGCCGTGAGATATTCAGGTCTGGAGCTCAAGGAGAGGTCCAGTGTGGAGGTGGAAATGTGAGGACCATCAGCATACTCATGGTATTTAAAGGCTGGATGGCAGGGGCCGGCCCGTGGCTCACTTGGGAGAGTGTGGTGCTGATAACACCAAGGCTGCGGGTTCAGATCCCTATATAGGGATGACTGGTTAGCTCACGTGGGAGAGCGTGGTGCTGACAACACCGAGTCAAGGGGTTAAGATCCCCTTACCGATCATCTTTTTAAAAATAAATAAATAATAAAAAATAATAAAGGCCGGATGGCATCGCCAGGGGAGAGGGTGTAGGTAAAGAAGAGAAGTCCAAGAACAGAACACCAGGACACGCCAACATTCAAAGGTCAGGAAGAGGAGGAGGAACCAGCAACCCAGACTGAGAAAGAGTAGAAAATCAGGTTTCCTGGAAGCCGAGTGAAGAGAGTGTTTTGAAGAGAAGGGAGTAAGTGTCAAATGCTGCTGATGGCCCATGAGCCAAGTAAGTCGAGTACTTTGAATTGATCATTGGATCAGCAATGTGGAGGTCATGGGTGTTGTTGACAAGAAAAGTCTCAGCAGGGCAGCAGTCCCTTTGGTGGGGCTTTAAGGCAGAGTAGGAGGAGAGAGACACTTGCTACTCAAAGCGTGGTCCTCAGACCACACCATCTGCATCACCTGGGAGCTTGTTAGAAATGCTGAATCTCAGGCCGCATTACAGACCTACTGAATCAGAAGCTGCATTTTAACAAGATGCTCAAGGGATACAATGTGCACTAAAATTTGAGATGCTTTGGTAGAGATCTTTCTTTCATTGTAAAGAGAAGAACGACAGGACAGTAGCTGAAGGAGAGTTGGAGTCAGAGAGGTTTTTGTTTTCATTGTTTGTTTATTTTTAAAGATGAGGGAAAAACAGTACGTTTAAAGACAGGTATTTGCCCAACCAGCAGGCAGTCTGCTTGTTCTGTCCCCAGCAGGACAAAGAATGAGACAAGAACCAGGCTCAAAACGCTGCTTTAACATCATGGTCCCACTCTGCAGCCAAGTGACTCTCAGACTTCCCATCATAGAGTCGGAAAAATCGCTCCCCCTGACTCCAGCACAAGCAAAAGCAGCAGAAACTGCTTTTCTAAGGGCTGAGTCCTGCTGAGAACATTGCAGCTCAGCTTAGTAGAAGTTGTCATTCCCTTTTCCTCCAGGTTTGGAGGGTGGCCGAGCCTTCTTTAATGCAGTCAAGGAAGGAGACACCGTGATATTTGCGAGCGATGATGAACAAGATCGCATCCTGTGGGTCCAAGCCATGTATCGGGCCACTGGGCAGTCGCACAAGCCTGTGCCCCCAACACAAGTCCAGAAACTCAACGCCAAGGGAGGGAACGTGCCCCAGCTGGACGCCCCCATCTCTCAATTTTGTAAGTAAATATGCCATTTTTAAAACAGCTCTGTAAAGTAAATCTTCCAAAGTTGAATTAGAAAATCTAGTTACTTTTCTATTAAGGATGTATAAAACAATATTTGCTGAAAATATATACTCATAGTGAATTCAGGAAGAAGGTTGGGACAAAATGTTACATGAAAGTAATTTTAAAGTGCAATACTTGAAATTCTCCCCTGAAGACTAAACAAAGGAAAGTATATTTCAGGTGCATTTTTATCTCTTTGTTTCAGTGAGAGTTTGGAATTCACAGCCAAAATATAGTAGATTATGTATGTCCTTGCTTCATTTTCTTCCTATTAAAAGTAAGTTAAAAATAGAGTTGATCTGAAAGAAACTTAAATCTGCAATTTAGAACCATTTAAAAATAAATGATGACATTATCACATGCAGTGGGAAAAAAAATGGTACCTTAAATCCCATTCTGATCTAATGTACCAGAGTCCCCAAAATGAAACTGTCTCCTTAAACAGCCCCAGTTTGTATTACAGTTGCTTCTCCTCCTCCCTCTGCATCCATTTAATATCTTGCCCCTTTACCATGTCTTCTTGCTACCTGGGATGACTTTTATCTCCCAACACTTCTGATATACAGGGTAAGGTGAAAGCCAGTATGTGCATAGAGACATTTGTCAAAACAAAGAAAATGGAGACATAAGACGTCAAATAAAGTAATTCATTTTAGCTGCAAACATTTGCCCTCAGTAGAGACTTTTGCCTTACCCTGAGTATTGAGTCAACTAGGGATAACAAGTCATTTTTAGCAACAATCATGGTGACTCCTTGCTTTAGTGTGAAAGCCACACATTCAATCTAGTTCGCTGAGCAACCGTCTGGAGAGGAGACCTGCTAAGGAGGAAGGCAGACAAGATCCCTGTTCTCATAGTGCCTGCATTTCAGGGGGGAGTCTAGACAGCAAATGAGTCAACAAATAAATGAGATAGTTCAGACATGAATAAGTGCCATGAAAGATGCCATGGAGTCATGACTGAGTAAGGAGATGGGCCCTTAGACAGATGATCAAGGAAGCCTTCTTCCCTGAGCTTAAGCCCAAAGGATAGGGAGTCAGTCTCACAGATATCTGAGGAGAGGGAATTGCAGAGGAAGGAGAAGCAAACACAAAGTCCCCAGAGCAGATACTTAACCTTTAACACAGCGCTCTTCACAGTCTCCCCTCTGTTGCTCTTAAGCAAAATATGAATGCGGGTGAAATAATTTTGCAGCTACAGCAACTAAATAAAGGTAAATTCTCATTTCAATGAATTCCACTGCCATGTCCATTTCTGTCTGACAGAATTATGTTCTTAAACCTTGCAACACCCTTGCTGATTGACAAATATAACTCTTTTGGGATGGCAAACTCTATCCATCAGGTGCTCCAGGAATTCCTGTCGGGTGCTGACAGTTTCTTAAAGGAAGATGCATTCCCTCATGGAACGTTATAAATAATCACACAGTCGCTGTGGGTTTCCACGCAGAAAATCATGAAAGAATGAGAAATAGATTGAGGGGGTGTTGGGAGAGAAGGGACAGCCCTCCTGCCCTCAACCACCACCAAGTTTCCCACTGTCCTCTTATTTCCTGTTACATCTTCTGGCACCAGGTTTATTTGACAACAATAAAGAGAATAGCAGTCATTAGTTGAGATAAAGCATACCCAATATTTGTTTAATTTGTCTAAAAAAAGAAAATGTGTGATGGAATTTCTCATTTTTAATACATTTGGAAATAACACACACATCCTATCATACGCACCTGAAATGGAATTATCTGCACATCAGAAAAAGAAATCCTAATTATAATCACCATTCAAATCAACCTCATACAAAGTGCATCTCAGGTGATATTTGGAAAATAATGGTCTTATTTCCAAATAATCTCCATTTCTCTAAAGTCATTTTACCATATATTTAGTGTTTCTGTTCTATCATCTGCCCAGATTAAGAAATTGCTACATGGCTTTTGTGATTGACCCCACTTTTTTCTGACTAGTATAAGGAAAAGGAAGACATTCAGGGTTAAAATTAAATAAAGACCAGACACATTAAAAAAGAAGACTAGTGATTGAAGCTGCTGAAGAAGGGTGACTTCATGGAAATATACAGGGGCTCTAGATTTAGATTTTCCTCTGTGGATAGGATTCATTTAGTTATGAAATTAAAGTGCTAGTCCGTAAGCATCAGCAGAAAGATTCAGTTGAATACACACAACTTAATATATGTCATTACCCTCATTGAAACAGGGAACTTTTACATTAAATGGGACATCCAAAGCAAAATCCTAAGGATTAGAATTTGGGGGATAAATGATACCATCCATACAGAGTATGTGAGGTAGGCTGAGAGATGAGTGAGAAGGTAGGATAATGCATGCCTCTGGGATTTATCAGTAACTGGGGGTAGAGCCTCCTTCACCTCTATTGTCTCCTTAATCACTGCCCAGGCATGGGGGTTCTCCAGAGAGGGGAAGCCCTAGCACATCTGCCAAGTTCTATAAGAACAAGGCCACCACATTCAGTCTTGCAGATTGTATATTTCAGGAGGCATCTTTTACGTAGATAAAAATGTGAATGGCACCCATTGAGTTGTTCAGTGCGCAATCTGCACAACTGTACCCAGTGGCCCTATAATAAATGGTGATTCTTACCCAGAGTTTCAAACGGATAGTTTTGATCCCAATAGTTCTGTGGTTACTTTATTATCCTTGATACAGAGCCTCAACACGGCTCCAAATTCTATCAATTGTTAGTTCAGGCACCCAATAAAAACTGCAGCCAGAGTACCAGCAAGTGTGGTTTCTGTTCTCATAATTCAGAAGCCAGCAGAGGGAACCAGTCAGGATTTAACCAGCCCAGCATTCTGTACCTGAGCATTTGCAGTTAGGGTTATATAAAACCCATAAGAAAGACCAAAAAAGGAACCAGCCAGCATTCCATGATCCTTGGGTAGTTATGCGTAACAAGCAAAAACAAACAAAAAAAAACCACAATAAAATGGCTGGGGATGGGGGTGAAGGAGTATATCATAATTTTTAGTGGAGTCTGCCACAGAATGGTGGTTAATACACAATTATTTCACAGCTGCTTTAATTTAAGTTTAAACCATCACCATTAAACAGATCAAGACTTATATATGGGTAACTCAGTCAGCACCTCAGTGTTGATTCATACTTAGGATGACAAACTCATCCTGGTTTGCCCAGGACTTCTCTGCTTTTAGCATTGAAAGTCCTGTGGCCCAGAAAAACTCTCAGTCCTGGGCAAACTGGGACATATTGTTCACCCAGTATTACAAAGGAAGAAAAATAAAAAACAATCATAACATAGTTATAAATAGTGAAGGACTTTGGTCCTTCACTTAACATTTGGTTGCCAATCTATACATTGATTTGTTTTGTCACATCACAAAAATCAAGTCAATCACAGATTCTCTAGCTAACAAAAAGGATAAAAAGTTAATCAAGTATTGCATTTTAAAAAGGTTTCCTTGACTTCCAAAAGGTAAGGGTTGTTGTTAAATATTTAACTCTGCATGCTATTCATTAAATCCTGGTTTTAGATATTTGTTCAGAGTACTTGCCATTTGCTAGCGAATAATTTTTAAGAACAGCAACTTTTCAATGGCTTAACTTTATAATTGCTTGATTGGTATTTACATGGCAAAGGGATGCTACATAGAAAAGGAAAGTAAAGTGTTTTGGGGGGAGTAGAGAAAAATAAACACTCCAGTCTTGTCATGTCGCTGTCTGTTCAAGGAAAACTTGAGAATGGGAAATTTTTTAGTTTGGGAAACTTGGGAGTAATTGTGAGCTTATTTGGATCTTTCTAAATTCAGTTTAACAGACTTCTAGGAGCGTTTTTATTTTTTACCATTTCAAAAGCTCAATTTCGGGCCGGCCCGGTGGCGCACTGCTACAGTGCGCCGCTTGGGAGCGTGGCGGCTCCCTCCTGCCGAGGGTTCAGATCCCACATACAGACCGGTTCCCGCTCACTGGCTGAGCGAGGTGCGGGCGCATCACCGAGGGTTGCGATCCCGTTGCCGGTCCCGGTCCGGTACAGGCGCGACACTGAGGGTTGCGATCCGTTGCCGGACACGAAAAAAAAGACAAAAAAAAAAAACTCAATTTCAAAATGAAAAGACACGTCTAAGAAAGAGTGGAGTGGAGTATTTATATGTAATTGTAAAAACCAAAATTAAAAAAAAATAGATCCTGCTATTCATTAGTTTGTGTGTGACTGTACAAGGATTTGGGGAGGGTTCCACCAACATTTAAAACTTTTTTGTTCTTTTGTGGTTTTTTTATGTGTTATTGTTTATTTTTTCCCCCTTTTTGTTAAAATTTTAAAAATTTAAGTCAGTACCTAACTATACAACATCTTTAAAGAAATTCTTGCAATTCTCCAATTTTGAAGGCCAGTGTTACTTACCTTGGAAACAATATCCAAATCTGTAGTGGAGCATTGCCATAGTTTTTATTGTGCCAAATGGCCTCTCTTTGAGACACTTTATCCCTGTCCATTACATGTTAGTGGAACAGTAAAAATCAGTACCTCAATCCTCATATGGACTGGGGCTGGGGGAAGGGAGTATTTTAAGCTTCGACATTTGGTCAATTATTTGCTATATCACTTGCAATGAGTCATTTTAATGTCTGTTAATCACATCATAGATCCCCAAAATTGGATGTTTTCGAGAATTGTTCTATTTTTGCTACTACCCGAACAGTCTTCAACAGTTAGGGGGATTTTTGTTACTGTTGGTTTGGGGGAGGTCGATTTTGGTTTTTGTTTTGTTTTGTTTTCTTTAAGTTTTCTTGTTCAATCTTTGCTCGAACCCAAGAACTTTAGCTGCTAGGTTAGAACTCCTGTCTGCTTTCCTGAGCCTTGTTGCTAGTCTTTATGTTATTCTGGTTTGTTCCTTCTTACCCTGCTAACTTCTAGCTGGACTGAAGGGTAAGTGCTCCCCTATAGCTAGCACAGCTCAGATAATCAGACTAGATTATCTGACACCTGCAATGTGCTCCCCCCTCTCCTCTTAAATCTTCCTCATGTCTAGACTTTGTAGTAAAACTTTTCATGTTATTTTCCTGACCTTAGGTTGGAAATGTAAGCTTCCATACTGAAGCTAGGATGCATGTGATGTGTGCATAATTGCCTCCTCTCCTTGGCTTTCATATTGGCATCAAATGATCCTTTGAGTAAAGCCAACCATTAACATCTCCTAATTTTTTTTCATTCTAAGAATATTAATGAATATCACAACAAAATGGCAAATAATGCCTTTGTTTCATGGAATTCACAGCTACCTGACTGCTTAATGCCTGAAAACAGATCATTTCGCACTCTGATAATGTGTTGTTGTTGTTGTTTTTGTTGTTTTTCCTTTCCCATCCCAAAGATTAGAATGGTCAGCGTACCAAGTGTGGTGACCAAAGGCGCGGTAGGAAACCCAAAGATGTTAACTGAGCAAGACTTTCAAAAATTGCAAAATACAATTAGTAAAACAAATGCAGTATCTGAATGCTAAAGAATTAATTCTACCTGGCTTGAGGCTATGCTCTAAAGTGAGACCCAATAGAGGATTAATCTTGAAAGGAGAGCTATAATACATGGGACTACCACACACAAAAACAGGAAATTAAGGACATGATTGGATCCATGTAGCTTATTCAAAAACAATTTGGATTCACAGTATCACAATGCCAAAGATGGTTTTGACCTCTGGTTTGAATGTCGTTCTGCTACTCCCCCGAAAACAATGACAACAATAACTTTTTTGACATCACTTGTATTTGTATTAATTTTTCTAAAAATGAATGTGGAAGAGAAAAAAGAAACTTTAAAACTTTAAAAAAATTTTTCTCTTCACTATAAGAGAGTATGCAATTCCTTTATTCACATAGGAAAAAGCTATGCACCAAAATTGCATTGAGGGGAGACATGACCTTAGAGGGAGCTAGAAGAATTGGTCAAGAGAGCAGGCAAATATGTATTTGAGTATTCTGAATGCTAATTTAGAAGAAGTAGGTCATATCATTCCTCCTGACCATTTAATAATAGACCTTTCTTCTAATTCTTTTTGTTTCTTTCTTTAATTTGCTTTCTCCCCCTCTCTTTCTTTTTTCTTTTATTTTGCATAAATGTACCCCTGGCTAGCAGACAGACTTTTTTCACCACTCCAAGCAGATACTTAATTTAACTTTACTTTACTTTGAATGTCTGATGAGGCATTTTAAAAAGCTTAACATAGAATGTGAACTTAGTGGGAATTTAGGATTTTGCTATACTTTTTTAAAGAATGAAAGGATGGATGAATAGATGACTGAATGAATTCTGTTCTGAGCGAATTTACATGTATTTGTACAACAACGCATTGTTATCCTAGTAGATTTTCGAATAGTTGTTTGCCTTAATTCCTTTCTATAATTTTATCTCATGAGATTTCTGCTATATCTTCTTGTATTGTCAACTTGCAGTTGCTATGTTGCAGAAATGCAATAATAAAAGAATTAATTCAATATCAACTTAATTTGCATAACCCAAAACCACAATGTAAATCACATTCCTTCTCATTGTAAAAGTAAATGACTTTTTAGAAGAATAGACTCCCACAATCAGGTTCAAAATTTTTCAAACACCATGATATGATCTAAATAGACCATACTAAATGAAAATTCATTTCTTTTTTAACTAGCTCAGACACATTTAACATATTCACTAATGAGTTGAGTATTTTCATGTCATGTAGTGATTTATAGTAAGATACATTATTAGTCGAGTATAGAAAATTTATTTTTGCTGATGTTATAGGGGACATAATTGAAAATGTAACAACTATGGCAGGGAAAATTACAAATCATTTATTTATTTTGTTTGAGATCATTGACAAACTCTCTGATTTTAACTCAAAGCAATTATCCTACAAAGAATTATAAAAATTAATACTAAAACAACACACATTTATCTCCTTGGGTATTTTACCAAAGTCATTTTAAATTCCAGATTTCTGCAAAATGCAATGTGGCCCTTAATAACTTACAAAGATGCCATTCTCTCTTGGCCATTCACATTAGCTTGGTTTAGTCGAAAGGACCATGTAGGAATTAAATTGTTTCTCAATTAAGTGGTCCACTATGTGCCTCAGGGAAGCAGGCATGAGAGGACCAGTCTTTTGCTTGCTGTGCAGAGCTCAGCCAGGGCACAACATCCCCTAGTTACTTGACTACACGAAGAAAAACTCTTCTAGAAAAATCCATAAACAGCCAGCTGCCATCAATCATTGTCATTTCTTTATTTCATATCTTCTGATGAGGTTGACTACTGTCATTGTTTGTTATTGTCCAAACCATACATTCACTCTTATACTGTCAAGCAGATATGACAAGCACACATTTTCCATATAAGAAAGATACAAAGTCACCTTTTAATTTGCAGTTTGGGTTCACAGATGACTTTAGAGTTACATTAGCTATTTTCTTGCCTCTAGCATCCATCAGGAGTAGCAACAGCCATAACTGTGTGCTAAATTTCAGTGATAAAACGGCTACCTCTAGATTATTTATTATAAAAAGGATTCATGGAGAGAAAAGCTTTCAGACTACTTTAGCAACAGCCATAACTGTGTGCTAAATTTCAGTGATAAAACAGCTACCTCTAGATTATTTATTATAAAAAGGATTCATGGAGAGAAAAGCTTTCAGACTACTTTTGAACAATACAATCATAATTATTTTCAACAGCAGAATTTCTTTTTTTACTAGCCCTTAAAATTTCTAAAATTTATATTATAAAGTAAAAAGAGTGATTTAACCTTTTGTCTTCAATCCCTTAGCTGTTGGAGTAATAGGAAAACCTCAATAAAGTAAAAATTTGAAAGCTATATTATCCCTCCAAGAAAATTGCATTTATTTGATAGACATTATTGCAAATCTATCTAAAAATATGTATGTCTGAAACAAGATCACATAAGTATGCTTGCTATTAAGAGATCATGGAAAATATTATATATTTTTTTCCAGTTGTGAGGGAGGGAAAAAAAGAAAAGTATAGCAAACATGAAATAAACCTAAATATCGCGATCGACTAAAGACAACATGAATGGCAGTTTCAATTAGGAACCACAGCACTTGAATTTTAATGAAGTAGATTTAATGAGAGTATAAAACGCACATAAAGGCATCTCTCTAGGAACGAGTGTTTTCCCAACATTTCTTAAATGCCAAACAAAAATTGTTTCCAAGCAAACTTGAGGTAAAGTCTTTGGCTAGTTTCCACTTGAACATGTACTAGCTCTCCATAAGTCTTCATGTCCGTCAGCCTGCTTCTGTGCCATGGATAGCATGGATAGTGCTTTAAATTTCTTAGTATAATTTAGCTGCCAATATCAGTTTTATTCATCGAAGTTTTGTCTGAAATCAGTTTCCCATGCCCATGCCATAAAGGACTTCAAAGTCCTTATGCAGTTAAACCCCACAAGTAGCATTGTTTGGAAGGTGTGTTGAATTATGTCCTAGCTGCAGAGCCTGTAAAATCACACAGCTCACTTTCAGTACGTTTGAAACCCTTGCACACCAAGCAGGACTTAGGAACCACTTCCTAAGGCCAGGTCTGGAAAAGGTAAAGATTGAGGTTGGTTTTTAAAATGTAGTCAATCCGTGATATCTTAAAAAAAAAAAAAAAAGTTAATGAAAAAGAGCATTAATATACCTCTCCCAAAGAAAGAGATAATCCAGACATCACTGGGACTTTAAGCAGACACTTTACCCTCCTAATTCTATTTTGCTCAACCTAATGTTCAAATTCATTTTAATTCTCTTGACACATGCCAAATATTGGCAAAGGAAATGATCCCAAAGGGTCCTGAATTCAGGAATTGACTCTCTCATACTTTTGCTCTGGGCTGTTTTCCCTCTGCTGATGTCAATATTAGAGCTTTCTTTTTCTTTAATCAACCAATCCCAATTGTTTGTACAGGGAAAAATGGAGTTTGCAAGGAGCATTTATTTTTTTAATGTTCGGCACTGTGGAAGAACAGACTGGGACAGTGCAAGAATGACTATATGGTGTTGCTTGGGAAGCGCCCACAAGTGCTTTGAAACAGAATTTGGAACAGCTGGACCACTGCAGTGTTTTATTTTAAAATAGACAACATATGTAATGCATATGGTCCTAGACATGTATGGAGACACAGGCAGACAATCTGAATGGTATCCAAAGACACCTGCACCTAGAATTCTGTTTCCTTCTATAAGATTTTTTTCCCCTAAGAGCACATGTTCCCACTTTTGGATTTGCAAGATACCATCTGAATCCCCATGTGTGTGACTCCTTAATAAAGTCAATGGGAAGTGTTCTGGCATGGAGGTGTCAGAGGAAGTCAGTTAATAACCACCTCCTAATGACCTCGCTCCTTTAGGAGCTGGCAGGAGGAATAACAGATCAGAAACTTGCCCTCAAGGAACATTATTTACCAAGGGATTAAGCCATATGCATGTGTCCTAACTAAAGAGAAATTAGAACCTAACCCAGCAAAAACCCAGAGACAGGATGGAGGAATTGGTTATACATGGGCAGAGGAGAAACAAAGCAGAGAAATCAGAAAGGACTCCCAGCTTCCTAGAAATAGTTTGATTTCAAAAGCAAGGAAGGGATGCAACATTAGCTGTAAATGCAGAGACAACTTAAACCGGCTCACTAACAATTCAAACTGACGTAGCAAGCACTGAGAAGCCTGCCCATTCACTCCTAGCTAATTTTTACTGAGCACTTACTACGTACCAGGAGCTCAGGTACCCTCCAGACACTTATTAGATCCTCTCAACAACCCTTTGAGGGTAGATTTCAATATTATCTCTAATTTATAAATGAGGACAAGGAGGCTCAGAAACATTAATCATCTGCCTCATATCACATACCGAGTAATGGCAGAGCTACCCTCAAATCCAGTGTTTGTGACCCCCCAAGCCTGCCCTCTTAACTACTTGCTATCTTATCTCCCATCAAATAAGCTGTTTCCAATGAATTTAGTATATCAATATTCCATAAAATCAAGAAATAGAAAATATTTGTCGATAGAGAATTTATTAATTTTGATAAAATAAATTTATTATTTTAATAAATATGTATTAAGTGCCTACTATGTGCCAGATAATGTCTATGAGCTGGAAATATAGCAGAGAACAAAAACTACCAAAATTTCTGCTCAGAAAGAGCTTAAAAACCAGATCTCTTTCACTGACACTTTGAAATATCAGTCCTGGCCTACCCCCCTTTTTTCCTGAACATCATAAGCTCAATGAAACTCTCAAAGATTTCACAGGAGCCAGCTGCCCCTTTAAGCACTCTTGAGTTGTTGGAACCATTACAATAATGAGCCTAATTCTGAGTAAATGATCATTTTGGGCAAGCAAAACCCAGGGACTGCTCCTTTCACTTGTTGGAAATTCCTATTGCATTGAGCTGCATCCCACACATATAAATTGTAAAAGGATCTTAAAGATCATTAAATTACAGTCCATGACAGCAGAAAGGTAACCAGAAAATGAGTTCATCTTACACGCAAGGAAACAGGCTTAGAGATATAAACAACTCAGCCAGCATCCTACAGCTATTTAAAAATGGAACCCAAGCTAGACTACAGACCTCCTAAATCCAGTCCCAGGATTATTCTACATACAAACTGGAAGAAAGAGGAAAGAAAGGAAGAAGGGAAAAGGAAGTTTTATTTTGTCAAGATTACTTTATGGGAAAAAAAAAAGAAGTAAAAGAAAAGAGGTTGATTTTAAGCATATTTTTCGGGAATCCTGCTTTAAAACATTAGTAAACAATGAAATTGTTCTTTAGACTTCCTCCTAGCCAAGAACTAGCATACTGAAGCTGTATTCATCAAGCCACTGTGATAGATTGAGGGGCAGGGAGTGGGTCTGTATCCAGGTCCCCATAGAAGAGCCAAGTCGTCTTTTCAAATTCATTTCCTGAGTGGCCAGCAAAGAAAATAGGTCATCAGCAAAGTTTTCAAGAGGTTCAACAAATAAACAAAGAGTAAGAGACTTGAAACATGTGCCATATTTTTAACAGCTACAAAAGAGCCCCCTTTTCTCTGAGCTAAATGACCGGTTGGTTGTACAGTCATAATTGAAGAGCAATAAAACAGCCGAGCCAAACTGGCAAAGCAAGGCCCTGGCCGATTTGTCAGTTTGCAGCCTCTTCCGAGAAATCCGAGAGCAAAAAGCTGATGCTAGCCAAAATGCCTGATCTATCTGTTAAAATTGGGAGGCAGGGGGTGGAGGAAGCTTTTCATAAGGATGAAAACAGGATGAGCAATGCATGTGCCCCCCACGCTTAGTTTTTCCTGAATTAAATTGACCCAGGACTGACAGGATGGGGGCGAGAGGGCAGAATCTGTCGGAGGAGATGGAGAGGTGCCATCTGGGTTGCACGTGTCATTATGCCAGGGGAGACCTAAAGTTGGAGCAGGTTTAAGACACTTGCCCTGGGCCCAGAGGAGTCACACACAAGCCCTGGAAGCAACTAGAGTTTCCCCGAGCACCAACTTCCCGGCCATGCTGAGTCAAAGAAGAATTGTACTTTGGAGACCAAACAACCAAACCAGAAGAATCCTCCAAAATAAAGCGCCTACCCTCAAATTGAAAGCGCTTTCCTGAGGACAAATCTGAAGCAGTTAACATAGCAAAGAGGATTCTTTCAAATTCTCCAATATAATTCCTGCACATCTGATATCTCTTCCAAAAGCTTGTGTTTTATCATCCTAATGGAGCGATTTGGCTGTTAAAATACACATTCTTCTACTTGCCTTCTGGAAACTGCATGTCTTGGGCATAAACAACACAACTTGTTCAAACACTGACCACTTGCTGCTTCTGAGAAAAATGACAGAAGATTTTTTAAAATCTAACAATAAGAGTATAAATCTAACATACCATGCATTTAGGTTTGAATAATATACAAAATCAATAATAATACAAGGAGCAATCATCACCTTAAAGTCACACTGCTGCCATAACCCAAGCTTACAGCTATACCCCATAGGAGAAGAAAAACAAAAAACAAAAATAATGCCCAGGATGAAGGCCACATATGAAAATATTATCCGAACACCCTCCCAAGTCAGAAATCAACTTCCCCCATGTCTTGACAGCATTGCTGGTTCCCGGCAGGACCCCGTATTCTAGTAGAATGTTGCATGCAGAGGGATGAATAAAATCTTGCTCGATTTGATATAAGATTATTTTTCTTCATACTCTGCATGTCAACAGAGTGAGTAAAGATGAGTTTGAGTGAGCCGATTCCTTTAACCTAAAGGACCTTCATTCCTACTTCCTGAGGAGTTGTGTGGTCACGCTTGAGTTGAAATTCTCAGAGTTATTTGGCCAGTTGAGTATAGTGTATTTTAGTTGTACATGCGATATAAGATTATTTTTCTTCATACTCTGCATGTCAACAGAGTAAGTAAAGATGAGTTTGAGTGAGCCGATTCCTTTAACCTAAAGGACCTTCATTCCTACTTCCTGAGGAGTTGTGTGGTCACTCTTGAGTTGAAATTCTCAGAGTTATTTGGCCAGTTGAGTATAGTGTATTTTAGTTGTACATGTTGAGATTAATTAGTTAGCCTTTAGGAGGTTTTGCCTACAGCCTTCACCCTGTAAGGAAAAGTGTGAATACATTAAGACTATTAATTCACAATAAATGGCAGATCACAGCCCTTACTGAGTAAATTTCTGTTTGTCTCTTTCCTAAGCTTTGCTATCTGACTAAACACATGCTTAAGGCAGTGTCCTTGGCTATCACAAATTAAATTCCCATTTAACTTAATCTCCAGGTTACAATGAAAAGCTGTCGTTGTTGTTTTTTTTTACTTTTAATTTTGGAGGGTGGGGACTCAAATCTTTTGTGAAACCAAATTGGCAATGGGGATTTGGAAGGGGAAGATACAAATATTGTCACTTGCTGAAAATCAGTATAACCCTTTCTCCAGATAATCAGAATAACTGTAGAGAAATTGCTCTAGACATAACCACTGGAATGGCAGAATCTATTGAAAACTTACAAAGCTAAATAGGCTATTCTAAGCAAAGATCCGATCTGCTTTCAGTGTTTGGTGAAATGCAGGCGAAGTTATGGTCTTGTGCTTAGTTTTTAAAGAACAACATAAATGCACTGGAATTGTGATCATTCGATAAACATGTTGATGCCAATATATTTTTGCCTAAATGCAATAAACTCACCAGTAAGTGATGCAAGTTGACAATGGGAGGTAAAAAGAATATCTTGGGGATGTTGGTGGGAGGCAGCGGGGAAACAGCTAACGTTCGTAATGCCTAGTGAATTCCTGTGTATTTGAAATGTCAAAGAAAATGTGATGTGTTTCTCTAAATTGTGTCTCTCTCTACATGTGTAAATGAACAGACGCAGATAGAGCTCAAAAACATGGCATGGATGAATTTATCTCTTCCAACCCCTGTAACTTTGACCACGCTTCCCTCTTTGAGATGGTTCAACGCCTTACTTTGGATCACAGACTTAATGATTCCTATTCTTGCCTGGCAAGTATATTCTTTGGTCTACAGCAATTTAAACATAACATTTTTAAAAATAAAATATTTCTCTACCTTTATGTCAGAAGCTCTTTTCTCTATTACAGAATCCCTTTAACAATCATAAATGTGTTCTCAATTTCCTGAGTTGAGATAGTTGTACTTACCAAAGAAACAAGACTGAGCAGGAGGAAGTTATCAGGAGAGACAGATCCAATTCCCCAGCCTCCCTGTCTTGTCTTCCCCCTTTTCAGCTGCTACATGAGAAATTTTCTCAAGAGGGTAGTCAAGTTTGGCACCTGCTTGTGGAGAACTTGTAAAAATTGCCTCTGTGTCTTAGAGTTTAAGATGCCTCTCCCTCCTCATCCCAGACCCTGTACTCCTATCTCATAAATGAATGTATTCTTTTTGTGTATTTTTAAAGATTAAAAAGATTCATAAATAAACTCCACTTTTCATAAGCTAAATCAATTGGGTTTGTTCGTTCGGGTGTTTTTTTCTTTTTCTTCCCAATATTCAGAGCATTTTTTTTCCACCCTTTGAGGGAATTTTTCATGGTGCTTTAAATATTTGGAAATCAAGCTATCCAGCAGTAATATCGACATTTCCTGGAATCCTGATATAAACCTTTATTTAAATTATTTAAATTCAAGGGACTGTTATGTCTTTGTTGGAGTTCTGAACATATATTTTTGGTTTTAAACTATCAAATTCAAAAGCCTAAAAAAGACCTAATTTATTTCTTTCTATAAACCATAAATTGTTACTTCATTTCTTAAAAGCAATGTTATTAATCCCACTTTATAGATGGGAAAGGAGAGGAAATGATAAAATGGCTTTACAGAGAACAAAATTCTCATCCCTTACTCCAAGCACTGAAGTTAATATACCTATATAGTGTTAATATTATATAGTTAACTAAGGTTAACATATTATTGATATTAATACATACATATAATAAAACCTTCTTTTCTAAGTAACGTGGCTGTATTCTAACTCTATCCTGGCTAATTTTTATTTTTAAAAAATTTTTCTTGTACCAGAAACTAAAATATAAAAAAATAATATATAAAATAGTGTTAAAAACAGAAATAAGATTGCATGGAATAATTTATTAATCTGTGTCTCATGTAAGATTCATTTATTATCTCAGGTTTAGAATTCCTTCATCAGAAGAATCTGAACTTTGCCAGATTGGAAAGGAACACATCACTTTCACTTTAAAAAAAAAAATCTTACCTTGCATTGCAAGGCAATTTTTCTCACACGTATTTGCTACTGTTATGTGATTATTCATGTAATTATAAATTGCATTTATGGAGCTTGTAAAAATATGCCTCTGAACTTAAATCATTTCCTTTTATGTATAATTCCTATTCTCTTGAGGTATTATTTTCAGGTATATTATTTCCAAGCCGTATTTTACAATATCAATTTTTAAAACAATTTTCTTTTGTTTTGAAATTTACCACAAGGGAGAGTTAGTAAATGCCCTCTAAAAAATTAAACCAGAAATGAAATATTGAAGCTTGCTTCCCATTAGTCACGTATAAGCTTTAAAATGTGGTCCAAAATCCACAAATTAATTCTGAATAGCATAAAATAGTTTTCTTCCCCATTTGAAGACCTGTATCTATTAAACGTCATTCCAAAATTTCAGAAAATAACAGAAATTAAAAGGACCTTATCTCCGGTCTCTATATATTCCATTTTCTCATTATTACAATCTTTTTTTTTTTCAGTTGGTTTTGGAGAACGACCAGCAGGGATACATAAATTTTTCTGTGTCTTCGACTGAGTTCCTAATTGATATTTCTTCAACTCTTTTCAAAGCAGCTATTTTGGCATCTACAAAAGACTTGGTGTCATCTGAGTCGTAGAAAATATATTTTAATCTTTCACAGCAGTGTTGTTTCTAAGATTTAGCATTTGGGGTAGCAGATGGAGTGGCAAGGAAGTTGCCTATAGGGGCAGCCCACTGCCTCGACTACTCTCCCGCCCTCTGCAGTAACTTATAATTTGAAATAGGAAAGATGCCGTCTTTCGTTGGATGCTTCTCTGAGCTGCATGTTGTCAATCGAAGATTCCCCAGATCGCTAATACAAGATGCAAGTGTTGCAAAGAGCTCCCTGGCTGCACTTCTATGGCCTCTACCTGTCCCTCAGTCAGTTTCTCCTTTTGCCTTTTCTCTCCCAAGATGGAGCAATATTCAAAAGATGACTCAGAGAAGACCCTCAAAGTAAACTTAAGTTTATATTCAGAACCAGCCCTAAATTTTCAGTTTACAAAGTACCACACGAATTGGTTTATTTCTTGCTTCAGATAGACACTGAAATTGGAAAACATGATTTGATTTCAGGCTCTATCCAAGGGTGACCTTGAGTGGCAACTCCCTTGGCCTTTCTACCTATTTTTTTAAGTGCATACTGGAGGTAGCAATTTCTATGCCATCAGACCACTGAATCTGCTCTGAATCAGAGATTCCATCCAGGTTCCCTTTTATACCAGAATTTGATGTGGTCCCATAGCAAGCAAATAAATAATAAAATAATAATAGTAATAATTTCCAGGAGAAAAATAAAAAAAGATTCTAAACCAAGGCACAAGAAGCTCCTCTCAGTTTAATTGAATCATATCTGATTCACAACTTGAAAACTTAGTCATGCTGTTCTCTTTGGAGAGTTACATTATTACCTTCATTTTAAAACTGAAAAAAAAAAAAAATACTTCCAAGGGAAAGGATTTATGAAGCCCTGGCATGAACGTGGACCAACCCTAATATTTTTTCATACTCTAGAGTACAGAAAGCAGAAGACCTGGAATAAGACAGAGCTGGATTTGCATCCTGTATTTGTATTTGTATTATCTATATTTGTATTATCTGTGTGAGTCACTAAACAATTGGGATTTCCATTTCCTTATCTATAAAATGAAGATAAACCTGTCCTGTCTACCTTACAAGGTTGCAATAGGTCTCAACTGAAAGTTCTTTGTCAAGCATGAAGCACTATGCCAATTTAAGGCATTAATGTTATTTTCTCTCATCGGTAACCAAGACTCTGCCCCACCCCCACCCCAATACTCTTTTAAGGTGTTTGGCTCAGTGGTGGATCAGGGGGTTAAGACTCTGTTTCTGGAATAATGCTGTCTGCTAATCCAGCTCCACCACTTCCTAGAAAAGTCCGTGTCTTCCCTGAACTCAATTTTCCCATCCATGTAACAGGGACAACAGGATCTGCCTCATAAGTATGTTACAGGATTAAATCAGACAGTACACACAATGGTTTAGCACAGTGGCTGCTGGTACTTAATAAGCAATCAGTAAGTGTTTCCTAATCCCCTTCTCCAACCACTCCCAACCCTAGCAGCTCTCCAGAAAACCAACCTGTATTTAAAAGAAAGTCTTCCTTATTCCCTATACAGGGCTGGTTCAGTCCTGGCCAGGTGTTTGTACTAGACGAGTATTGTGCCCGAAACGGAGTCCGAGGGTGTCACCGACATCTCTGCTACCTCAGAGACTTGCTGGAACGGGCAGAAAATGGCGCCATGATTGACCCCACCCTTCTTCACTACAGTTTTGCCTTCTGTGCGTCCCATGTCCATGGGAACCGGTAAGCATGTGTCCAGGGGGTTCCTAAAAAAAAAAAAAAAGCAATGGTTTATGACTGGTTTCGCTTTTAGGATCATCCCTAACTCTCTGTCCCTTCCCATTTCCATACACATACACATGGACACACACACACACACACACACACACACACACACGGTCTAATTTAGTTTCTTCTCTTTTCAAGAGGCTTAGAAGAAATGGCATACAGGACCTCTAGGTTGGTCTCTGAAGTGGGATCAACTCATAGCTCCTTCATCTACTAGCAATGACCCTGGTTGGTAATTAAAACCTCTGTGCCACAGTTTTCTCATCTGTAAAATGGGGATGGCTGTATCCTCATGGGGTTGTTGAGAGAAAACAAGTAGATACAAAGGGCTCAGCATAATGCCTGGAACAAGGCAAGAGCTTAATTCATATTTGCCTTTATCATTGTCACCATTTATTCTCTAAGTATTAATGATTACTTAGTTAGCATCAGGCACTGGCACACATTCAATATATACGAATAAAAACCAAACACCAAACAAGGGCAGAGTTACATTCAGATTGACGCTCTGGGGAAAAGGACTGAAATTCCATGGTAGAATTTAATAAAGGAGCATGACTCAGATGGAGTGGCAGGATGGCAAGGAGGACCTCCCTGAGAAAGTGAGGCTGGAGCTGAGAACTAAAGCATATGTAGGAGTTGAGTGGTTCCAGGCAAAAGGAACAGCGTGTACAAATGTCCTGTGCAAGGAGGAAGCCAAGCACATTTCAAGAGCTGAAGCAAGCTAGGTGAAGCTGGAAGGCAGAGATGATGATAACACTTACAATTTAACCACAGAGCAAGGAAGAACTTTAGAGATCACTGTCCAATAAACCCCCTCATTTTATAGATTTTATAGACAAAACCAGAATGTCAAGTCTCCTGACTTTGTACCAAGTACTCTTTTTCTTTAGACCTTGCCCAGCTCCTGGAGGAAAAGATCCATGTTCTGAATAATGCAAAGCAGCAAATAATTTAAGAACATTGCCATTTGGCTCTGGAGACAGAATAAATTTCCACACTGCCACAGCCAGTATACTATCCCGATGTATGTAGCCTCACATTAGTAGAAAGACATGCCTACATTATCCTAAAGCACCCCAACCAACAGCCAGGGGAGGCACAGAGAAAACTAGGTGGCTTCAGAAACCCAGACTTAGATTAAAAAGTTGCCACTCTGGGGAAATCCACATGTGGGAGAATCCAGAATTGACTACATTTATTTTAAATCAGAATTATGTCAGTTATCTTCATCTTTGCAAGCTGTACAACTCTGAAATATCTGGGAGTTTTGTTTTATGCTTTGCCTCTCTCTAGTGCTGGTATGTTTTTATGAAATACAATGTCAACATTTAGAGCTAGATAACAATAGCATTGTAGGTTTGAATATTTAACAGGCAACGAGGCTATCATCACCTCCCATTGTTATAACATTGGCTAGCCCAGTACATGACCTTTTATTTGCATAAAAGATACACATGAAAACTCTGATACCTGGGGGGTATCTGTGCATAATTTTTCTTTTTATAAATATGTACACTTTGATGACTATCTGTTACAGCCTCTTGGACTGAATTCTTTAGAGAGAGAGAGGGAGAGAGAGAGAAGTTGCATTATATTCTCTGGGTTGTCACACTGTATTCTACATATGTTACTGAATAAGAAAGTGTTATAAAATAATGAAGTGTTTTTGTAAACTCCCTGGTAAACATCATCATGAATTATGATACACATTGTCTGGATTTCATATTGTAAGACTGCCACTTGATTCACAGTTAGGTTTATACATCTTGTCATGGAAACAGTTTTGGATTTCTTATTTTCTTTTCAGTTCTGATTTTCCTTATGCAAGTTTGCATTTTCTTTTTTCTTTTTTTTTTCTTTCTTTTTTTTTTTTGCTTATTATTTTAGTTTGAATACATTTGCTCTTGCTTTTTGATGCATCCTTCTTTTTCTTTCTTTTGTTTGTGCATGTATATGTGCTTTCGATTCTCCTATGGCTGGCCACACTCTATGCATGCCTCACATGACCACCCCCTCTCCAAAGTCAACAAATGCATGTGTACCTTAGTGGGCTGCCACCAAATACAGATCCTGGAGGGAGCAAAACTCCCTCCCCACCTGAACCAGAGGCTAAAAAAGATAACAAAAAGGAATCTAAAAAAAGAAAAGATTTGAAAACCCAGTCAAATCAAGAGCCCCAAAGGTAAGAAGTTACATGTGTACTGGCTTGCGCTTTGCAATCTCTTTGCCCTTCCCCATCCCTCCATCTGTGCCACCACGTCCACCTTTGCTAACAGCAAGTTTTGTGTATTCCTGAAGTCTGTTTTTTTAAGGGTTTTCAAAGGTGTAATTTTTTTAAAAAATCCAGCAATGGGCAAAAATACTATGTTTTGGGACCCAATTTGAGTCAGGTGTTTAGTGACTTTTCAAAACATATTGAAAAGACTAATTGAGCAATATGTAAACATAATTGTGAGTCAGATTGCTTTTTTAGTGGCATCTAGTTAGGGGCCTGGTACCTTACCAAGTCATTCATAATAAGCAACCCATGCTTTATAATTATGAAATTATGTTTAAGGAGCAAATAAAACAAGTTGGCATAAGAAGGACCTATACATTTACAGTAACTCCATCATTTTCAGTAAACTGCCTTCAGTTCTACATTCATCTGATGAAAAGAACTCCATCTCAAAAAATGAAGTATAATAACAACACAAAATAAAGCCTATCATTAAATTAATGGCTTTTAGTACATTCACTTATATAATGAGATTACCTTCGAGGCACTTGTAACTTCTAAAATTTTGTTTGTCCTATCCTGTTTCCTATGTTCTTTAGAGATGCTGTCTTTGTGAATTAATAAATTGACAAATTGGTTACATATTTTGTTCCCTTTTACACTAGGTTCACTAATTATTTTCAGCGTTATCCTTATGTTCTTCACCTTCCCTACCCTAGCCCCAAATTAACACTCACACTTTAAAATTTTATTGTTGTGGTTTTGACAGTAATGATTCTGATCTTGGCATTGCCAAGCTACCCTAAATTTGCAAGCATGTATGCATTATGCTTTATTATGAATTTATTTACTGAGTATTCCTAAGACCTTTAATGTATATAGTTCATTTGTAGACAGACCAAATGAAAATGCCCTTTCCAGGGAATGAGGCAGTCTGTCAATCAATGTATGCAGGTCCAATAGTGAAGGTCAAAAAAAAAAACACTGATTCTGGATAGCCACCCATCACCTTAACTTAAGCAATATAGAGAGATGCAGGGGAAGTAAAGCTTCTGTTTGTGTTTTGCTGTGAGGGTCATATTTGAAAGGCAACTGTAACTTGCAGTCAGTAAGAAAGTGCATAGAGAATGTTGCAGGTGCCTGAAGGTCAGGTCTGACAGCATGACAAGGCTTCAGAGAAGCAGTTTTCCTGGCTGCTGTCCAAGGTGCTGCTTTTGAAAGGCTCAACATCCAAGCTGAGCAGAGAGCAAATGGCCACTGTTGAAAGGCAGCACTTTCTCGAGCTTGACCTATTTCCTAAGCCATGAAAAACATCCAGAAGGATTTTGACTGGTACTTTGAGAGGCTTATGTGTGTTTCATGGTCTATGTTAGCGCTGCATTTTTTTTAATGATGAAAGAAATCATAACATGAAGTATCAGTTGCGTAGCATTCTACAGTTTACAAAGTGCTTTCAAACATTCTCTCAGTTGCTATAAAATTTTCAGGTTAGCTATTTTTACATTCATTTTGCAGATGATAAAACTGGACATCTGTAAATTTAAGTAAAAAACCCAGATATTCTAAGTCCAAAGCTCTTCCTCTTTGTACTACTTCAGCACTGTACTTAGATTCTGAAGACCTGGGTGTTAGAACCTGTTCTGCATAAATCTAGGAATATCATATCTCATTTCTGTGCCTCAGTTTTCTCACCTGTAAAATGTGCAGACTGATTCAAAGTATTTGTAATATCCTTTGAACCTCTAAAATTCTCTTCTGTGGGTTACAATAACAAATGAAATAGCCCATTGTCAGGTTCATAAATAAGGTTCATTTAAAATAAAGGTAATCAATACCATTTAATAAGTACTTGCTATATGCCAGGCACTATGTAAAGTCCTGTTGACATATGTTATCTCATGTTATCCTTGTTAAATACCTATGAAATAAGTATTATTATTTCCCTCATCCAATAGATGAGGAGTTATAAGGCTCAGATAAATTCAGTCACTTGCTGGAATCTCTGTAACAAATAACTATCTAAGCCTGATTCCGAGACAGATATTCTGACTTCAGAGCTGGCATTTGTAACCACTCTACGTTACTGCCCTTATACTGCATTAGCACTTGTATATGATGTGAGATGCCAAATTTATCCATTTCATACTCATTTCAACATTTCCAGGTGAGATACAGTAGCAGTCATCTGAATTAGTTAAGGAATTGTTCATTTTTGGCCTGAAGATGCCCAAAATCAATAGGGCCCACCTGGTAATTTTAGCCTGCTTGAGAAAGCCAAAGTCTGTCTGGAGTTTTAGACCACCTTGGGGGAGAGTGTCCTCTGAACACAAATTAACAAACTTTGGTACTGGGGAAATCCTGTTCCTAACCTCTTTTACCAGCATGACCACCATTTGCATGTGGAGATGTTATCTATTCTTTGCCTGAGATTATAAAGGAATTCACAACTCGTATAAACAAATTGTCCTTTAACTGAATTTAACTGAACAATAGAACCCATTCCTACTGTCATCTCACAACCAGCTTCAGATTAGGTAAAAAAAATTTTTTTACCTATTATTAGCTTAGCAGCCCCAAAAGGGGGAGGCAGAGCTCTGCCCTGCTGCAGCTGGAAATCATTAGTGATCACTCAGGTGCCAATGAGCTGGTTCATTCCATCTGCTCTGGAAGCCTATGCCACATCTCTATGAAAAACTATGCCTATGTGAATCGAAAATATTCTGACGAAAAGAAG